ATACATATCAATTATAAGAGCAAAAAATTATCAATTCTAGTATGCTTAAGAAATACCTGTGCTTTCCTTCAAAATAGTGATTATGAAGCTTTAAAGAGAGACAAAGATCACCGAGTGGAACGAGGTTATTAACTATCGTTGCTGCAGAGATTGTCGGGCTCGTTGTCATCACCGTGTCGACATCATAACTATCTCTATATATCATAGCAAAACAAAATCATAATTTCCAACAAGTTCAATTTCGCGAAAGGTATTATCGGTCTAAAGTTTTACCGGATACTAAACTGTTATTGCCGATGGAAAATCTTGCTGAGTTGTTATGCTATTGAATTCAAACTGTGGCGAATCCAAAAAGGATGCATTTTCATTGAACAGATTCCAAACACTTTGCTCTCTCGTCGCAGCGGTTGCAGAACTTGTGGTGTTGGGGGCGTCAGAGCTCAGTTGAGAACGTGTCGTGCTACTACAGAATCGAGTGGTTGTCGAAAACGAAACCGGTGAGGTTGAAAACTTAATGTGTTGATCCGCGTTGGTTGATGAGAGGAAGAAAATTGAAAGTGGTTAATGGTGAGCGGTGGCAAGGAGGGTTGTAAGGAGGGTGGTCGAAAGAGAGATTCAGAGGTTGTCATCGGGGTATGAATCAGAGGGGAAGGTGGTGTTAAAACTATGGTTGGACGGCGAAAAAACGGGTGAAGAAGGGAGGTTATTGTGATGATCAAGGGTGGAGACAGAAATGAGAGTTTGTGTTGTGTGTCGAAGAAGATGAAGCGCGACGGAAGAAGAGGAAGGGTTGGGTTGTGTTGTTCTAGTGAAGGAGAAAGATGATGGTGAGTGGAAAGGGTGAGGCAGATGAATTTTTTTCCGGGAGAGAAGGGTTTTTCCCCTTTTGCAATGAAGAAGAAGATCCTCTTCTTATCCCTCTCTCTCCGCTTTCTGCTTTTTTTCTTCTTTTTCTTTTTATAATAATAATATATGTTTGTTTCTTTTTTAATAGCATTTTTTTTAAAAGTGCTATTATAGATATGTTTGTTTCCTTTATAATAATAGCGTTTTTTAATAAATGCTATCAAAATCATATTGTCAACACTTTATAATAGTGCCCGACCATAAAGTGCTATTATAAATATGTTTGTTTCTTTTTTAATAGCACTTTTTTAAAAGTGTTATTATAGATATGTTTGTTTCCTTTATAATAATAGCGCTTTTTAATAAAGTGCTATCAAAATCATATTGTCAACACTTTATAATAGCGCCCGACCATAAAGTGCTATTATAAATATGTTTGTTTCTTTTTTAATAGCACTTTTTTTAAAAGTGCTATTATAGATATGTTTGTTTCCTTTATAATAATAGCGTTTTTTAATAAAGTGCTATCAAAATCACATTGTCTACATTCTATAATTGCGTCCGACCATAAAGTGTTATTATAGATGTGTTTGTTTCCTTTTTAATAGCACTTTTTTTAAAAGCGCTATTAAATTAGGCGATACAAAATATCAATTTTGGCGTAGTGCCGTCAAGTGAGAGTTGGAGTTTCTCTCACGATAAGTTCACGAGACAAGAAAAGAATGTGGTCATTAATAGTGATAGATGAGAGGTGTAAACTAAGACCCATTAAAGAGTATGCATAAGATGATATCGGTCTAATCATAACGAATAACGAGTTCAAAATTTTGTTGCCTCAAATACTGATTTCATTTTGTGTTGTCTATACTAAGATTAAGTTTAAATCAAAAGATACTTAAATATATAAAGATTCTTTGTTTCCTGTTTTGAAGTTGGTCTCTTCATTATTATAATAAGTTGGAGATTGTTGTTATTATTAATTAATGAATTTTTTTTATTAAATACATAACCATTATTGTGTTATAATAATAACATGTTGCAAGTGAGTATGTGAGAATTCAATGTGTAGGAAAGAATCCGACATTGAAAGTTTAACTCACTTTCATGCTCCTTATATATAGTTGCATTTATTAACTTATTAATGACTTAAAGAGGAGAGAGTGTCACATAGATGAGTGTGGTGGTCCAAAGTCTTTATTCCACTTGTCATCTTCACACTCTCCTTCGCCGGTGTCGCCACGGATGACACTGACTCTGACTTTGGGATCAGGGGTGTCGACATTGAGGCACTAATGGCTTATAGAATGGAGAAATCAAAATAATCACGGACATCTGACGTATACGATGACAATCCAACGACCAGCATTCAACTGGCTAGTGTCGACAAGCTTCCACACTTGACAGAGGTCGTTACTCCAGTTTCTTATTTTTTTTTAAAACTAAAATAATTATAATACTTAATAAAGAGTTGCAACATTGGGAAATGTTGAAATGTTTAGTGAAAAAATATGTTTTATCAATGGTCGCAATTTTGTGAAACTACACAATTTAATCTATAAATAGACTATTTTAGATTTAATTCTAAAAAATTATTTCCTCCTTACATTCTAGTTTTCATATATCTAGTACAAACTCAAAATATGATAAATTATCCTGATTAATCATGCATGTAGACTCTAAGATAATTTAGAGAGTATTTAAAATAGTATTAAAAAAATGCTTATATACACGATTTGATCTTTTAGTTTTGAATCAATTTCTAACCGCTCATTTATTCATCAATTAAGCTAAAGTCATCAAAGTTATGCTCCAAAAAAGTCTTTGAAGTTATTCTCTTTTATTTGAAATAAATAAATTTTTCTTAGGCTATTTTATTTTTCCTTAAGGTATGTTTCAAAGTTGGTTTTCAGAGGGAAACATTTTGAAAAACTGCGTGTATATTTTAAAATATGTTTGATATTTTTTTAAAATTTTAAAAAATAATATAATAATTATATTATTTTTAATTTTTATTTTAAAATATCAAACACATTTCAAAATATAGACACAACTCTCCAAAACCTTTAAAAAAAAAAACCATTTTCCAAATAGACCCAAAATAATCAAAATTATATTCCACGGTTTTGAATTTTTTTAGACAAAGCAATAAAAGTTTTTATTCCATATACAACTTGAATTCGCTCAATTTCACTCAATTTTAATTGATCCAAATAAATAATAAAATACTGCTTAATTCTTTATCATAATGATTGCTCCATTTAATTCCGTCAATCCAATCAAATTCTTAAATTTCTTTTAGATAGTACGTAATGAATAATGGGAACCGTTAAGTGTTTTACACTATAATCAAATTTATCATTAGTTATTATGAATTTTCAGATAAATCATTGGTAGTATTAATCCTTTATATATTTTAGTTTTATCTTTCATAGTAAGTAGTTAGGTATCTTTGTTTCTCACGGGTATATGTATTATAAACTTAAGAAATAGTTGAATCAATTGTGTTGATTTTTTAAATTAAATAGTTAAATTTATAAATAAACTCAATTAAATCTTTTAATAAAATGTTACTTATAATAAAATGTTAAATATCAATATATATGGACAAATTTAAATCATACATTTTAAAAGAATTTTTGTGGCAAAAAAAATACAGTACTTTATTTGTCATTAATTTTTGGTCATTATTGTAACATATGACTCGTAGTATATTTATTAGAAAATTAAAATATATGAATCATCATAAAACAATGCTTTGACTTCTATGGTGGTTTTATATACTAATATAAGTTGAAAAGTGAGAACTAATTTGGAATGAGAAGAAGGGGAGAGAGTTATAAACAGCGAGCCTCACTCAAATAAAATATTTAATGCAAAATTAAAACATAAAAAATTAAAACTAAAATTGCAACTCCTAATCGATTTCCGAGAGTTTGACTCGTATAAACGCGTTTTAATTGATGGACCAGTTTTGGTCAACAAACAAGGTTACTACATAACAGTTGCATGCTGTTTAAATTTCTTTTACTGATTCAAATTTATATTCATAAATATTTAGATAAAATTGTGTATTTTTGAGACAAATTTAAATTTAAATTGAATAGTTTTTAAATTAGATTTTTAAATATATTTATTTAATGTTATGTAATTTTTGAATTAAAAATTTTTTGAGATAAAGTTAAAATTTATTTTGAAAATTTTATTTTATTTTAATTTTAAAAAAAAATTAATTTAAAATATTTTATATATATATATATATATATATATATATATATATATATATATATATATATATATATATATATATATATATATATATATATATATATATATATATATATATATATATATATATATATATATATATATATATATATATATATATATATATATATATATATATATATATATATATATATATATATATATATATATATATATAAATTTAAAAAATGATTTTTAAATTCATAAAACAAATAAGCTGAAATTAATTAGATGAATCAAATTATTTGTGAACTTATAATAAATTGTATTTGAGTTAAAAAAAAATTCTATTTAAAATTTGAGTTGAATTAATTTTTAAGGAATCGAATCGAGTTGAGACGAATTCAACTCAATTCGACCAATTTTCATCCTTATCTCAGATTTAATATTTTTATATTTTTTTCTAATATGAACATTTTAAAGGTCATGATGTGGGAAAAAAACTTTATTTGTAATTAATTGTTGGTCTAATAACATATGACTGGCATGCTATAAGTCATTATTAGGAAATTAAAATTAAAATATTTGAATCATCATAAAACAAAGCTTTGACTTTTATGGTGGTTTGATTAATAGAAGTTGAAAAGAGAGAGAGTCATAAACAGTGAGCCCCACTCAAATAAAAAATTTAATGTAAAATACACAAAAATAAAAATAAAATTTGCAACTTCTAATCAATTTCCTAGAGAGCCTTGACTAGGTAAAAACTAAAACCGCGTTTCCATTTGTAACACGTAATGGCCATATAATTGATGGACTTGTTTTGATCAACAAGCAAGCTTAGTGCATAACTTGATACCACAGTTGCATGCTGTTTAAATTTCTTTTGGTTATTTCAATTCCATCCAAAACTCTTTAGGCTTTTATCTCTACTAGCTTAAGGAACAAACATGAGTAATTTTCACTATCAGTTTCCTAATTCTCCTCCTTCCTTTTATACTTCATCAGACGAATTTAATACACAAGCTCAAACAACTTTTGACAGATTTGGTGACACTGTTGATTCTTCTATGAAATGGGCTGTAGCAGAATCTATAGGTATGATGAACATCAATATAACTACTATTAGCTAAGCCTTAAATATGTTTTTAGGTTATGTTTGGATTTCCCATCTCATATTACATTTATGAGGTTTATTTATGAAACACTTCAATTAAATTATCAAGTATAAGTTATTAGTCATCCGTAATCAGGTATAACCTATCAATTATCTGTCATCCGCCGTAAACTTTTTACTATATGTTGTCAGCTTTTTTATCGGCTAACTTATTAGCTATCATCTATTTTTATGAAATTAAACAACTTATGAAATGACATGTTTATAAGCAATTTTTTTTTAATTTATTTATGTAAATTTTGCAATATTGAAAACAATTTAATGTAGAATTATGCTCTACTTTCATTTTGTAGTATATGGAATTGTGGTAATAACCGCTGTTATAGCAATAGTGCATGCTATTATTGAGTGCTTGAAGAAAGCAGGAACAGCAATTCCTGCTTACACTCAGATTTCAACAACAGAAAAGGACAATCAAATATTTTCAAACTCTTCAGTTCCTTCAACAAGCAGAATCGAAGTTATTATACCAGAAAATTCAAAAGCTGAATTTCCAACCATGGAAAGATTCTTAAGCAACATCAATAGAGAAAAACCAATCAGATTTACACCAGAGAAGCTCGACGAAATCACCGAAAACTACTCAACCATATTAGGTTCTGGTGCTTTTGGGGTTGTCTTCAAAGGAAAGTTATCCAACGGAGAAAATGTTGCCGTCAAAGTTCTCAACTGTTTGGATATGGGAATGGAAGAGCAATTCAAAGCCGAAGTTAGCACGATCGGAAGAACTTATCATATCAATTTAGTCAAGCTTTATGGATTTTGTTTTCACCATGACACAAAAGCACTCGTTTACGAGTGCGTTGAAAATGGTTCGCTAGATAAGTACTTGTTTGGAAGCACGAATCGCGATGTTGAGTTTCGAAAGCTTCACGAGATTGCTATTGGAACGGCTAAAGGAATCGCGTATTTACACGAGGAATGTCAACATAGAATAATACATTATGATATCAAACCAGAAAATGTTCTTCTTGACATGAAATTAGTACCGAAGATAGCTGATTTCGGATTAGCGAAGTTAAGAAATAGAGAAAGTAACAACACTGTAATAATAAATACTCACTTTAGAGGAACAAGAGGCTACGCTGCACCGGAGTTATGGAAGGCTTATCCAGTTACATATAAGTGTGATGTTTATAGTTTTGGTATTCTTCTGTTCGAAATTGTAGGGAGAAGAAGGCATTTCGATTCTAGCTATAGTGAATCGCAACAATGGTTTCCGAAATGGACATGGGAAATGTTTGAGAACAATGAGTTGGTTGTTATGCTCGCGCTTTGTGGGATTGAAGAGAAAGATAATGAGATTGCTGAGAGAATGTTGAAGGTTGCTCTATGGTGTGTTCAATATTCGCCAAATGATAGGCCTCTAATGAGTACTGTGGTGAAGATGTTAGAGGGTGAAATAGAAATTTCATCACCTCCATTTCCCTTTCATAATCTTGTTCCTGCTAAAGAAAATTTGACATCAGAGGGAAGCATTGCGGATTCGGATACTACTGCATCGTCGTGGAATACAGAATCTATTAGAGAATGTTTTGGAGCCAAACACAACACATTTGAGATCGAAAAAGCTACATAGTGCATTATTGAAATCAACATGTATTTATGGTGGAACACTAGACAAATTAACTCGCCACAAACAAACATGCACTTAAATGTATCATAGCAGGACAGAGAAAAAAAAAGTTGTGCTATGAAGCTCTCATATTTAAGGGAGGTTTTGATACTTCAACATGCTATTTTTGGCAATTCTACCCAGTTTTCCATGTTTGAGTTTTTGTTTCAAATTTGTATAGTTGTATTTGTTTGTATAGATGTATATTTACTTTGTTTATTATATATATATATAGCAAAATTCTCAGAATTTGGATATATATATATATATATATATATATATATATATATATATATATATATATATATATATATATATATATATATATATATATATATATATATATATATATATATATATATATATATATATATATATATATATAAAACAAAATTCTCAGAATTTGGGTGGAAATGATCTACAAAATTTGAAAGTTTTGATGGGGTAAAAGGGTGACAACAGCTTCAAAGATAGTGGTCAAGACAACAACTTTAAAAAGATTGACAAGAGTAGGGCGAAGTGTTACAATTCTCATAGACTTGGTCATTTAGCAAGAGATTGTCACGCGAGACCAAAGAAAAATCAAAGCGATGAAGCTAAGGTAGCGAGGCAAGAGGTAAATGATGAAAATACGCTCTTGTTTATGATCACGGAGGAGAATTATGACATTAAACAGGTATTGGCTAGCAACAGTAGCAGCTGCAAGTTGCGGGACAACAACTGCAGCAGTTCGAAAAATGCTGCAGAAACGCGTTCGGAGCAAAACGTAATGGTTACGTTTGGAGATGAAGTCCAAAGCAGCAATGAATGGTACTTGATTTCAGTTGTTCAACGCATATGACGAGTAGAAAGAATTGGTTTGTGCAAATCAATCAAGCCGTGAAAAGTAAAGTAAAATTCTTGAATGATACCACTCTTGTGGCCGAAGGTGTCGGTGACGTTTTGATCAAGAATAAGAATGATGGACATTCTATGATTAAGGTTGTCTTGTATATTCCGGGAATTAAGTGTAATCTCTTGAGTATTGACCAATTACTTGAGAGGGGTAACAAAATTTGCTTGGAAGACAAGATCTTGCGTGTTGTGGATGCAAACAGTGTTTTGAACCTTAAGGCTCCTATGGCTGCCAATAGGACTTTCAAGGTGGAGTTGAAAGTGATGGAGCATAGATGTTTAGCTATAACGTAAGTCGATAAGAGTGGTATGACACTATCGTCTTGGACATCTCAATTTTCATGATCTCGACGCAATACGAAGGAATGGTATAGTAACTGGGTTGCCAAGAATCAACATTCCAACTGAGATATGTGAAGAGTGTGTGCAAGGGAAGATGCACAAGAGTAATTTCGGCAAGGATATGGATCGTAGGACCAAACATCACCTTGATGTGGTGTATTCTGATGTGAGCGATCCAATGCAAGTCGATTTGTATGGTGACAATAGGTACTTTGTCACATTTATTGATGATTTTAGTAGGAAACTAAGGATATACCTAATCAAGAGGAAGAATGAGGTATTAGATGTGTTCAAACGATTCAAGGCCATGGTTGAGCAGCAATGTAGTCACAAGCTCAAAATTCTCAAACAAATGGTGGAGGTGAGTACACCTCGAATGCGTTTGGGAAGTATTGTGATGAAGAGGGGATGGTGCATGAGATTGTGCCACCCTATACGCCACAAAAAAATGGTATTTTCGAGAGGAAAAATCTTTCGATAATAAACATGGTTCGAAGCATGATAAAGGGTAAAGACTTGCCGAAAGAGCTATGGGGTGAAGCCGTTTCCATAGACGCCTATTTGTTAAATAGGTGCCCTACAAAGAAGCTTGATAAGGTGACTCTAGAAGAGGTGTGGTCTAGATTTAAACCAAGCTTAAGTCATTTGAAAGTTTTTGGTTCGATAACATTTTGACACGTTCCGGGTTAGCTTCGAAAGAAGTTGGACAAAAAGTGTGAGATGATGTTATTCGTTGGTTATCATCCTACTATAGGTTATAAATTGTTTGATGTTACAAACAAGAGGATCGTGATTAGCCGGGATGTTGTGGTCGACGAGCTGCAAAAGTTTGATAGCAGCAAAAAAATTGATGATACAACCCTTGTAACCGATTACGCTAAAAGTGGTAACCGGTTACCATGTGAATTTTTGGATCCTGAAGCTGCTCGAACTGGTTTTGTAGAGGGCGTAACCAGTTACAAGAATCCTGTAATTGGTTACAGGCACGAAAAATCTAATTCTCAGGCTGCTGGAAGTACAGAACAACAACCCGTTGAAGCCAAAAACGGAGGAAATATTAGACAACTGACAAGGCAAAAAGTTTTGCCTCAGAGATTCCAAGATTGTGAAGTATTCCAGGATAACGAAATCAATGACGATGGTGATTCGTCCACTTTGCGCTTATGGTCGAATCCGAACCTGTGAAAACGAAAGAGGCTATAAGCGATCCAAAGTGAAGTTGTGAAATGAAGGAGGAGCTGGAATCTATTGAAAAAAATGGTACTTAGGAGTTGGTCAATTTACCACTTGGAAAGAAGCCAATTGGTGTGCGATGGGTCTATAAAGTGAAGGCAAATCCTAAAGGCAAGGTGATAAACAATAAAGGCTCGATTGGTAACGAAGGGATTTTTGCAACATGAAGGTATAGACTTTGAGAAAGTTTTTGCACCTGTGGCTAGGCTTGAAACCATCTGATTAGTTGTTGGCTTTGCTAATAACAATGATTGAGCAATATATCAAATGGACGCCAAATCTGTATTTTTGAACGGACCACTTGAAGAAGAGATTTATGTTAAGCATCCCCCCGAATTTGTAGTAAAGAATTAAAAGATAAAGTTCTACAAATTGCATAAAGCATTATATGGTTTGAAACCAGCTACGAGAGCTTGGAACAAACACATTGATGGCTTTCTTATGGATATCGGTTTCAAGTGTTGTGTGTTCAAACACAAAGTTTATATGAGATCAGATGCAAATGATGGTGTGTTCATTCTTTGCTTGTATGTGGATGATCTATTGATTGTCGGAAGGTGTGAATGGATGAGTTTGAGATGAAGGACCTTGACATTATGACATATTTCCTAGGCATAGAGTTCCATAAGTAAAAAAAAAAGGGACTGATCATGCATCCAAGGAAATATGCTCTTGAGATCTTGAAGAGGTGTAAAATGGAGCACTGTAATGCTGCCATTACACCATGTGAGGCAAGGTTGCAACTGTCTAAGAGTGAAAATGAGCAAGATATGGATCCAACGCAATATAGGAGATTGATTGGATCATTGTGGTATTTGTGCAATACGCGACCGGACATGGGATTTAGTGTCGTTATTGCTAGTAGATTCATGGAGAGACTGAAGGTGTCTCACTTGGAAGCAATCAAGAGAATTCTTAGATATGTTAAAGGAACTTTTGGTTGCAGAATTCTCTTTCCCCCATCGGATACGGGCCAAAAATGCAGTTTACTTGGTTCCACCGATTCTAATTGGTGTGGGGATAAGGATGATAGAAAGTCAACAACTTGATACATCTTTATGTTTGGTAGGACACCAATCTCTTGGTGTTCGAAGAAGGAATCAATGGTATTACTATTGATCAATGGTATTACTATTGTCTTGTGAGGCCGAGTAGATTGTGGCTTCATTGTGTGCGTGTCAAGCTATGCGGCTCATGAATATATTGAAGGAGTTGGGTAGCAATGAGGGTGGGACTACTATATTTCTGGTTGATAATGTTTCTGCAAGAAACCTGGCGAAAATCTGATTACACACGGTAGAAGCGAGCACATAGAGATGCAATTTCATTATTTGAAGGAGCTAGTGAGTAAAGGAAAGTTACGATTGAGATATCGTCGAAGCGAAGACCAAGTTGCGGATTTGTTGATCAAGGAGGTAACAAATTAGGTGTTCAAGAGGTTGAAGAAGAGCTTGAACATGCTGGACTTGAACCAACTGAAATGAGGTGGTGTGTTGAAAAAATTTGTTTTTATGCATTTTTAGTTGGTGTAATCGGTCACCGCTTTGAGCGTAACCGGCTACGGTGTTGGTCAGAATCTGGATTTATTGGTATCGGGCTCGTAACCGGTTACGGCATTTAGCTTAACCGGTTACATATGCATTTTTTTGGGTTTTTCAGTTTTCTTAGTTTTAGCTTATTTTAATAAGTTGTTTATGTTATTTACTAATCATTTGTATCTGATGTATAATTTGTCTTGTAAGCTCCCATTTGATAGCAATGTCAATTATTATTCTCACCCTTAATTACTATTTCTCTATTTTTCTCTCTCAATTTCTTAACTTCATCTTCTCCAAATTAACTCAATTCTCCATTAATTCACCATTAGAGATTTTGTATGTTCTAACATTTGGTATCAGCGACTGGTTAGAACATACAAAATCTCTAATGGTAAATTAATGGAGGATTAAATTAATTTGGAGAAGATGAAGTTAAGAAATTGAGAGATAAAAATAGAGAGAGAGAGAGTAATTGAGGGTGAGAAGAATAACTGGCATTACATTCAAATGGAAGCTTACAAGAAAATGTATACAACAAGTACAAAATGATTGGAAATAACACAAATACCTTATTCAAATAAGCTGAAACTAAGAAGACTGGAAAAAAAAACAAAAAAAAAATGCACGCATAACCGGTTACGCTAAATGTCATACTCGATTACGAGCCCGATACTTCAATTTTCCAACTAAATGTTGTACTCGATTATGAGCACATACTTCAATTTTCTTGTCCATCATACTTCAATTCTCAGTTACAAATCAATTAGTATTGATTTGCATTAAATTAGTCATAAGTGTAAGTTATGTTATTACCTATTGTGTATATCTATTTTGCATATAAATATACAGCATGTGTGATCATATTCAACACACATAAATACAATCACAACATGGTATCTAGAGCTGGCTGACCCACTGTCTTCCAGAATTTTTTTTCGTTTCCGAAAAGTATCCGGT